AAATCACATTCAAAATATGTTTTTTTGTTTTTTTCTATTTTAGCCCTGTTGCTACAATGAAGGAAGACATATTTTATCACAGTCATAGAATGTTCTTAAGCTTCAGTATGTCTTTTATTTGAAAATGTGCAGATTTCATATTTTCAGACCTTCCCTGTAAGTTGTTACTTGCATTAGAAAGTGCCATCCCCCTCCCAGAGACCTTCCATGGCCCCATCCATGCAGAAAATCTAATGGAAAGCAAAGGGAGGTCTAGAGTGAAAAACAACTGCTTAGGCTCCCTAATGTGGCTAGGAGGTCTTTTCTTACTTTCCAAGGCCAAGGGTCCATACTGGAATTTGGAACCAAAGCCTCAGTTCATAATCAGGTATTTTTTAGCCTCATATTATTCTATGTAAATATATATTCCCATCAGGAATATCACAGAACTGGAAAGCCTCCTGTCATAAGGGATTATTAGGTGTTTAAAATCTTAAGTTCCTTCTATTTCTCTTTCTACATGTAGAATTATCTCTTAGCAGAACCTTAAATCTGACAAATTCAGTATCATGAGAAAGTTTTAAAAAACAGAAAATCATGTCTGTGTAATAGGTAACTGTACTGATAAATACAAACTGAAGCACTTGATGCTCACTTTATATGATTTCTTACATGGAAAGTGACACATTCAAAAATAGACCAAGTGCAATGCTGTGTCTCACAATATGCTACATAAAATTGCACACTAACAATGATTCAAAGTAAATAATTAAAACATATTAAAAGACAAGAATTATTTTAACAAATATTTACTTATCTACAATTTGCCCAGCAATGTCTTAGATCTACAAGTTCCTTTATTCTCATAGTTGGGTGATTCCATATTATATATCCATAGACTTGTATGAGATTTTTGTTCATACAAGTTTGACCTTTTACCTTAGGAAAAGTCCGTATTCTCTTTAAAACTCAGTTTTTTTCAAGTGTAAAATGGGGGTATGCTCTAGGTCATTTTTCTAAAAGACCTTCCAGCTCTAGTCTAAATGTGTTTGACTTTTAAAGGATTTCCAAGTTTTTCATACTCCATCTAGTTTAGTCTTCATTTACATAATTATAAACCTAGACAGTTCTGCTTAAAATAGTATTATCTATTCTGATGTAATGTCTTAATAATTTACTCTTCAAATATGACTTAAATTAAAAGGGTACTTTCAAAGTAATGACCGTATGGCATTCAGGTAGAATCTCTGGCCTTAAAGTTTTTCAAATTTCATCCCTATACCTTTATGGGATAAGTAGATAAGGCACCATCATCTCCACTTAACAGATGAGAAAACTAAAACCCAGTGAAATGGAAGGAGTGATCCTTCCTGACTTCTGATCAAGTGTATACGCTTAGCAGGATCCTGTGTTATAGAGACACCAAAAGCAACAATTAAACTTCCTGGAATAGCCCTAGTTCATGTTTTGTTGTTAACAAAGCCCACTGTGACGCATTTGGATGCAAGCTAATTGCCCCTAGAGGGTGAAATAGAAGTGATG